AGAAATATTTTTGGCTTTCTATTATAGAAGAGGGGCAAGGAAGTGGTAGTAGGAATTACACTGGGGAATCTCCATTGCAACTTGATCCTACTACAACTCAAATATTTCAAGTATTTGCACTTTTTATGCAACAACAACAAGCAATGGAACGCAAGGAAGCAATGGCTACTAAAGCCTTGCAATCTGTTGTTGGTTTATTGGATCAATTTGATGGAAGAAATATTTTCAAGTATCTTAAGTATTATTCTCAAGAGATAGAGCTCAATAAAGTGCTGGAGAAAGATATGATCCTAACATTTGAGCTTGTAGTTATACCAAAGCTGTGTGAGCGTATAAAGAGAATTATTAAAACTCATGGAAAAAAATGGGAGGATTTTATCCTTGAGCTAAAAGAAGAGTATTCTTTGGAAGATACAAAAAGAGTGATAAGAAAATCATTTATGAAATGGATCAATAAATCTAATAATGGGTTGGTTGTAACAGAGTTATTCCAAGAATTTAAAAGACAGTTTCTTTAATTGTCTTAAGTGAAAAAGCTTACACTTGAAAATGACAAGGTGGAGTTATTTCTTCAATCAGCTAGCAATGATTTATACAGGGAGTTGGAATTACTATTGGAAGATAATACAAAGGACAATGAACTTCTTACTGATTGGAAGAAAATCTCTGAAGCTGTGGACATACTTGCTAAAAGAGAGTATCGAAGGGATAAGGTGGTAGTAAGGCAAGTGACTAGACCTCCACCAACTACAATACCTCATAAGCAACTGCCAAAACTTACTATATTAGTAAGTATTATTCTAATTCCTATGTCTACAATTGTACCACAAAAAGATCCAATTGATGAGTTGGTAAAAGGAATGAAAGACTTACAAATCAAATTGGCAAAGCTAGAGGAGAAAGAAGGATTACTTGAAATCAAACTTGCATCAAAACAAAGATATATACAAAGATGTATTTGGTGTGATAGTATTGAGCATCCTCATAAGGAATGTGGAGATTTTGTTGATATTTTGTGACAGAGAGTAATTTTATGGAAAGATGGAAAAATTACGTTGCAAGATACATGTGAGTTTCAAACCTAATTTGAATTAGTTCCCATCTATTAAATTCAAAATAAATTTAACTTTTTGAATTTATTTGAATTATCTATAGAAAAAAAAATTATGGATGTTATTCTCAAGGAAAGTAAAAATAGATTTATAATTATTATAAATCTTCATGAATTTATTAATATTCTAAGAATAGAAATTTTATATATTTCTAATATAAAATATAGATGTACTATTCCTACACCTATAAAAGAAGTTCACAGTTTGCATCAAAAAATTATGTAGTTCAAAGAAGCAAGTAGATTGACTTTACAACCAAATCCAAGAAGTTTTACTTTTATAAGTATGCTGAGAACAAGGATTATTATGCTTAAGAAATCTGATGGAACATGATCAAAATTTCAAAGATTTCTGCAACAAGATAAGCTCTATTTAAGGTTGCATCCCTTCCAATATCTTAATGGATTCATTCAAGTCGGATTCATATGCACACTTTAATCAAGAAGTGTTCTCTTTTTGTTTGCATCTTTAATAGAAAAAGATTTGTGACTCATTTATGATTTGAATTCCTTTTTAGAAGTGTTTATAGCCACATTAAGAGAAAAAGATCAAAAAAGAGTAGCTAAGATTAAGCTCTTATCTTTATGGCAAAGATCATAGTTAGCCATTATATATATTATTGAATTCCAAAATCTTGCTTGTGACATGCACTAGAATGACAAAGCTCTTATCAATCAATTTTGACATAGATGAAAGAATAATATCAAAAATTTGTTATTAATAATATTGAATGTAAAATCTTTAGAATAATTTATTATTCAAGTAATTTCATACAACAATCAATTATTTGAAAGATTTTAAGAACAAATACTTGGCTAGAGAGGAAAAAATCAAATAGTGATGACAACTTCTAGGTTTTTATAAACTTATTAATCAAGGCCAAAACCAATGCAAATTGATACAATATATTTTAAATTTGTTACGGAGTAAGAAAATATTTGACATTGTGAAGAGGGCTTATGCTTATATTGTGGAGAAGCTAAACACACTTATGAACATTACTCAAAGAAAAAATACAACTACAAAATAAGAACCATGGTTGCCAAAGAAGATAATTTGTCAAAAAACAAGTTTTTTTAAGCTACAATAGAGATGATGCACCTACAATCTTACGTAAATCTTAGTAAAGGTCTTATTCTTATCTTTAGATTTTTCACCTTATTGTACAATAGAAGTTTATTTATCATCAAATCATCACAAAGTCTTAGCTTTAATAGATTTAGGAGCCTTAGCTTGTTTTATAAACAAATATTTTGTCAAAAAATAAAAATACTGTTACTCAAGAAAACTAAATCCATAGATATAGAAGTCATAGATGGTCATTTGCTATCTTTTGGATAAATTATGCATAAGATTGTTCTTTTAGATGTAGCAATTAAATATCATAATAGCATAGTAATATTTAATGTAATAAGATATGTGTGTCACGAACTTAGAATACTGACTAGAAATCTAAATAAGAAGCTCAAGAAGAATCGGCAAGAACTAGATTAATCAGATGTAAACAACAACAACACTAGAGAGGTGAGCTAGAGCTCCAAGAGGTGTGTTTTCGAAACTGAGGATCCTCTCAGTCTCGGTTCTTATATATACCGCAAGCTAGGAAGCTTCTCAAGTAGCTTCCACAAACTAAGAAGCTTTTCAAGCACCTTCTATGAATTAGGAAGCTTTTTAAGCAGCTTCTACAAGCTAAAAAGCTTCTCAAGCAACTTCCACGAGCTTGAAAACTTCTCAAGTAGCTTCTACAAAGAGGCGTAATCCACTTTCTTTAAGAAAAAAAATTAGTATTAAAAAATAAGGTCATTTATTTAAAAATAGATTGTCAACAACCTTCAAAATATAACAATAGAAATGGGATAATCTATCCATTTTTTAAACAAGACATAAAAAATAATTTAGCACTCTTGACAAACTCTCAAAGATATAAATTTTGAAGAAAGAAATCTTTAATATAGTCTTATGTGACTCAAAAGAATTAGAAAGTCACTCAAAGGTGATATGATATTAAACTAGAATGACTATTGTCAAAGATAAAAAGTTTAGAAAGCCTTGAAACAAGACTAAAGACTTCAAAGGCATTGACAAGAATGAAAAAAGCTTCACTCTTGTCTCCATATATATTCTTAATTAGAAGATACTTGGCATTATTTTGTAAGACCTCTGAAATGTGTTGACTTTGTAAGACATGTATCGTAACTTGTAAGACAAGTTTTTTTATATATATACCACATAGTTAGCTTGTTCTGCAAGCTATCAAGATGTGGTTAACTTATTGATCAAGTTTCTAACCTATCAATCAACTATAGACACATGTTAAGTCAAAACAACATCTATGAAGTTTTTGAAAAACTTTTCTAAAAAATATTATGAAATAAATCTACTTTTACTTTCTTCTACTTAATCATATAGATAAATATCATAGTAAATATGTATATTTGTGACAATAATCCCATATGGCAGAAAGTACTATTTGATTTTGCATCTTTTATATGAGTATTTTACTTTGATTTATTGATAATGTTGAATTTGATTTTAGGATAGGAGTCAATTCCTTTTCAATCTCTAAAATTAGATTCCAAATATCTTCCATATCAAATTTCATTAAGATTTTTTGTTTCCAAATTTAATATCATAGGCCATCAAAGTTGGGCCATTCTTTGGTAGTGAGGCTATTTCAGCCATGCTCATAATAAGAGAGGTTTAATAGTATCCTAGTTTCTTTGAAGAACGTCATCAACAAAGCTTCTTTCTTGTGAATTTTCTAATTACTTCTTCTATGGAACATGCTTTGCTAAGTTCTCAAAGTGATTTTCTAATACCATATTAGAACTTTATAGATTTAGGATATAAGTTTTGTATCTTCAACTATACTATTATTGTTGTTTGTTTTGCATTTCACTTTATATTGTCTAATAGGATTCAATTGCAAGGGTTGTGCCTCCTAGACAAGGTGACAAGGTGTGATGCTTGGACACCTCATACATAATTGATATGAAGAGACTTTGGAAAGCAAGCACCTCATGGTTGCAAGTGTAATGGTGGCAGAATCACGATTAGAAGGAGCAGAACAATGACAAAATGGTGGGATGGTCTTATGAGAAGGAGTAGATGATCTACTCATCTTTTGTAGGCGGAGGCGGACGAGGAGAATTTTCCTTGGGCACTTGAAGGATTTCATCTCCTGCTAATTCGATGGGAATGAAATCCTTCAACAGTGATAAAATCACTCTTGAAGTATGCCCTTGTGCACCGTGGTTGAGTCGATGGTAGGATCGGCGCTTATCCTAACTGTCCACCAATCCAAACTATAATTTTGGAGAGGCCATGATGAGAGCTACTCTGATAGTGAGTTAAACGAGGATGCGTCATGAGCCTTGTCTCTTTTCAATTGGTTTGTGCGTTGTGAGGTGACCAGATTGCTAGTTGTTTGTAGGTATCCACTTTGGATCCAGAGTTTGCAGTTGATGATCATTGACCATCTGAATGGCAACAAGTTCTCGTACCGCCAGATGCTATGTTTTCTGCTGAACTTGTCTACCATTTGCTTGCCAAACTTCTGGAGCTATCGTAGCTTTTTTATATACGAGTGAGACTTGAGGGTATACTGAATCTGTAGGTTCTATCATTTGACGGAGGTTTACACTTTTTACTCTACAAATGTTGTCTTTTGATATGTGCGAGCACCATAGGGCTAGCTCATTTGACATTCATCGTGTCGTTCATGGACGTGTACTTGAGCCACACACAAGTTTCGATTGACAGGATCGATGGACATGTATTGAAAGAGCTCACCACTATGTAATTCGAGTTCAAATTTGTTTGCTTCTGAAGCAGTACAGGCCCTGTAGACTTGCTGATTGAAATCGTGAACGTGATGTAGGTGTAGTCATGACAACCTTGCAAGTCCCCGATTGTGGAGGTTGGTTACGAGGAGTGACTGCGATCAGTATTCGATATGCGGCGGACGTGTTTGAAACCATTGCCGGCATCATTAGGGGTTGTGGTGCAGGCATAGCTGTTGATCAGGAGAAAGTGTTACGTAGGACAGAGCATTTGCCACCAATGCCAAATCATGCCGAGTTGTTGGATGTCGATGCCGGTTTGCAAGGTCCAGCTCTCAAGAGGTCAGAGATGGTCGAAATATTTCCACCCCTGGCGCTTGACGATGGAGAATTGGAAATGGGTGCTCATCATCTGTGACGATGTGCGCTTTACATCCCCAGAGTACCGACATTGCACCTCCCAACAAACATCCAGCTCGAGAAACTTCGTGAAATACGAAGTCGCGTGGATTAATGAATGAATGGATAGTTGCATGGATGGACGTCGCAATTATTGACGACATCCATCCAGGCGAGGGTTCGGGCAGAAGGTGTGGTGCTGCGCGCAATGGATGGAGGGAGTAATGTATCCCAGCATGATGTTTCAATACCTATTTTCGATAACTTTCGAGAGAATTATAAATTCTGATGTTATCTTTGGCCGTAAAGTGAGAGAGGACGAAAGCAAAAATATTATACAAATGTTTTACACACCCAAGTATGCTTTATATTGCATGATTTATGATTTATGATGTATATTGCATGATTGTACAACCTGATTGTATAAGTGTGTGTATATATATATATATATATATATGCATACTATATATGTATATATATACTATAGCTGTGAATACTTTTAAAACTTCATCTTTGGTGTTCATGTAATTATTGATATTAAGTATTCCCACAAACTTATGTAAAGAAACTATTCCCACAAACTGCAAGTCTGATCCTTTGTATGCGTGCTTGTTTGTCTAAGTGTATTCACAAGTTCACTTACTTCAATCATGAGACTACCTACTAGGTTATGATTGGAATGGTTGACATATTAGGAAAATGTACTATATAATATAGAGAGATAGATAGATAGCTAAAAATAATAAAAAATAAAAAAAAACAAATGTGTGCAAGTCTTATCTTTTTAATTATTATTATAAATATTAATGTCTATGATATTATCCCTCCTTCTAATGACAAGTTCTATGAGTAGTTGTAATCACATGTTGAAGAAGTTTAAGATGTAGCAAATTATATTTCTTACATATTTTGATCTTTATTGTCTTTAAAAGTAGATTAGTTTTTTCAAACATCATCAATATTCCCTATCAAGACAAAAAGACCACCATATTTTTTAATTCTTGTTGATGCCTTTAAAACTTTACTCAATTAAAATATTTAAAATTCTACTAAGTATAGTTTTTTCTCTAATAATATCATAGATCTAAAACCTCTTTTATATCAAATTCTTGATTGTTATCTACTTTTATAGGATGAAGTATCAAGAAAAAAAACTTAAAGAATGTAATTAATAGGTAAGTTGTATATTAAAGAAAGATGATATATATGAAATGAGAAAGTATGTACAATCAAGAAGAAATTAAAATAGCTATTATCAAATACAAAAAAAAATTATACACTCTTAAAATTAGACTAGAAGTAAAAAAAAAGAATTGATAAAAGTGAAGAAGACATCACTCTTATCTCTTTATATACTATCTAATTCAAGTACTATGTGATAACATTATATAAGTCATTCAACATATGACCGATTTAAAATACAAGTTTCAACTATGTACACCATATAGCCAACTTATAAAGCAAGTAGTCAATATGTGCAATATATAGTTAATTTTTTAACTAAGTTTTCAACCAACCAATTGTTAAAGACATGAATCTCAAAGAAAGAAAATCCTTAATAGATTCATGTATTATTGAAAGAAACTAGAAAGTCACTCAAAGATGATATACTATTGAACTAGAATGGCTATTACCAAAAATAAGAAGACTAGAAAGTCTTGGAATAAGACTAAAGACTAGAAAGGCATTAACAAAAGTGAAGAAGGCTTCACTCTTGCTTCTATATATATAACAGGGTGTAAATAAGATAATTGTATAGATAAATAGAATCATGGAAGATTTTAGAATTGAAATTAGGTTAGTGGACCAAGTAGGATCCATCATGGAACATTCTAGAAAGAGTTTAGAGTGGTTATTTAGGTAGAATCCATCATGGAACCTTCTAGAAAAGGCTTACGGTAGTTATCTGGATGAGACCTATAATAGAATCTTCTAGAAAAAGAATTTAAGGTGGTTATCTAGGTAGAGCCGACCACCTAAGAACATTCTAAAAAGTCCAAGGTGGTAGGACAAGGTATAAATAGGATTGGCCAAGGCCTTTTGGAGCATTTGGTCAGATATAGCTTCAGACCCTTTCTCTTAATAAAGTTTGGTTTTGCATCTTTTTGTTTAATTTTGTTTTGTTTTGTTTCCATTTGTCCAGTTTGTCTTTCATGCTTTATTCTATTTAGCTCTATTTAGTTTTTTTTTTTTATCTATTTTGTCCTATTTTGTGATGAGGTTTTATATTATTGTGGAATAAAAGGATCTTGGATTTTTGAAATAGCTTGGTCTTATTTTATTAGTATCAAAGCAAGTATTAGACTGTTGAGTTTTGGTAGCATGTCAATAGTTATCATCTAGTCCAAAGTTAGTTGTTGTGGTCACATTAGATATTGTATTGAAGCTACTATGAGCTACTCTTAAAAAATCAATCAAGAAGTAAAAAGATATTATAATAGTAGAGTCCAACGAAGAAATTACAATATGAAAGATATAGCAGAACAATTCCAAATGGAGGCTCAAATATAACACCTCTTAGGCTAGATAGCTACTTTGCAAGGGCAAATTGAAGCCTCGAGGACAAGAGAGTCAACATCTATTAGGTTGAAATTTAGTAAGCCTAATACATATTGTAGAACTTCAAGATAAGAAGATATATGTCAATGGCTCTTCAACATGCAACAATACTTCCAACTATCTAAAGCAAATAGCATTGAAGGAATTATATATGCAACCAATTATTTGAAAGATACAACATCTATTTGGTAGCAATATTGAATTCAAAGTTATGGAGCTCAAGGTAGATTTTGTGACTAGAAGGAGTTTGAGACTGAGTTTAGGACTCAATTTTGGTCCATCAATGTAGAAAAGATAGCTTACAATCAGTTGACAAATCATACACAAGCTAGATCAATACAAGATTATGTCTCTTGATTTAAATCCTTATATCTCTAAATTGACAATATTTTGGAGGCAGAGATGATAGATCGATTCCTAGAAAGTTTGAAATCTAGAATCCAGTAAAAGATAGAGCTAAAAGATCCACAAACATTCAAAGAATCAATTCGGATTGTAGACAGGGTCGATGCTATAGATCTTAGAAATTATAGAGCACGACCTATAGCACAAAGTCCTATGCCGCTATCTAGTATTACGGCACAATAACCAATGCCAATGCAGATTAATGCCTTATAAGAATCATTGACACCACAAATATAATAAATATTGGTGCAAAAAGGATTATGTTTTTATTATTAAAAGTTAGGCCATCAGATCGAAGGTTGATCAAAACATCAAAGTGCAAGTATCAATAAGATAAGGCAGGTTTATAGTGTCAAAATTCACCAAGCCAATAATAACTTAAAGTAGGAAAATGGAGCTCCCTAGTAAAGGCATCTAGAGCCAATACTGGGAGTAACTATTGTCTCTCAAAGACAAATGGCATAGCCTTAAACAACTATAAAAAGAGTCGACTAGTGCATCTAATAGGACTATTAAGGGGACAACCATGTCGAGTGTTTATAGATTGTAGCTCTACAGAAAATTACATCTCAATTGAAATCTCTAATCAACTTTGAATTAAAACCAAGGAAATTAAGAGAAGAAGTTTATACCTTGTAGATGACCAAGAAAACATATTAAGTGAGATATGTGAAGGAGAAACCTTGAAATTGATAGTCACTTATATCTTAAGAGAGAGATTCAAGGTAACAAAGCTAAAGTATGATGTTACCCTTAGTATGCCATGGCTAGAGATGGAAAATAAGAAAGTTTATAAGATAGCAAGGACAATCTCTTTCAAAGATAGAAGAAGCAAGGTGATTCTTTACACCTCCACATCAAGTAAAGAAGAAAGATAACCTGCAACCAAAGACTTACTTATAAGAATGACCTTTATGAAGAAGCAATTACAGTATGAGCAATCAATATATATGGTGGTTCTAAATCTTCTGTTAATGGTGGAAAAGATAGCCAAAGGAATAAAATAGACAGAATAATTCATATAAGAGTATTAGGATAGCTTTCCAACCAACCTACCTAGTGGCATAGTTCATGATCGAGGTGCCTCCTTTCAAATAGAATTATTGCCTAGAGCCAAATCAATAACTTGATCAATTTATTGATTAGTACCAAAAGAATTTGAAGAGCTGTAAAAGACATTCGACAGATTCTTGGAGAAAAGCCTCATTCGAGAAAGCACATTACTATAAAAAGTATTTGTACTCTTTGTACCCAAGAAAGATAGTTGATTTTGCCTTTGCATCGACTATCAAGATTTCAATAAGTAGACTGTTAAAAATGCATATCCACTTTCACGTGTGGATAATTGTCTTGACTAACTTTGAAGTATGACCATCTTTAATAAACTAAATCTTTAGAGTGGCCATTGGCAAATACCTATTGCAAGAGAGGATGTAGAAAAGACGATATTTTATATATATACTATGAACATTTTGAATGGTTGGTTTTATCCTTTAGCCTCATCAATGTACTAGCTTCTTTTATGGATCACATAAACAGATTATTTCAAGACCTTTTAGATAAGTATGTAGTTGTTTTCATTAATAATATCTTTATATATAATAAAAATCTTGAAGAGCATGAGCAATACCTATGAGAGGTACTATATCAATTACAAGATAGTTGCTTTTATTACAAACAATCAAAATGTGAACTTTGGAAGTCAGAGGTGATCTTTTTGGGACATATGGTGTCCTCCAAAGGCATGTGTATGGAGCAAAATAAAGTGGAAGAAATAGAAGATTGGCCAACCTCCAAGATGCTTTTGAAGTTTGCTTATTTTTAGACCTTATTGAATACTATCGCTATTTTTTTTTGGCAATTTTCTCACATTGGTGCTTTATTGATAAATCTATTGAAGAAAGGTGCCTCATTTGAATGAAAACTAGAACAAAAAAATGAAGCACTCATTAGTATTCTAATATTACAACCGTATGATCTTAATTTCTCTTGTATGTTTGATATTGATGCTTCTGACTTTGCTATTGGAGTGGTCTTT